GTGAGAAAGACAAGCTTTTGAGCCACACAGAGCTCTTCTTCAAGTCTGAGAGAGAGATCTTTCCTGAACCCCCACCTCTGGCTTTCAAACAACCTCCCAACCTCTGCAAATTCATCATCGGACACAAGGCCCCCACAGACGAGGACATATCAACTCAAAGCGGCACCAGACCCTGCCAGAACAATAGATACAAAACCTGCAGACATAGCTCCACCCCTACAATGATCAACACACCTTTCAAGATCCATGGATCCTACACATGCCTATCACAATTCGTGGTGTACCTCATCCCATGCACTAAATGCCCCAATAACAATTATGTGGGTGAAACCAGACAATCACTATGCTCTCAAATGAACTCACACAGGAAAATGACAAAAGACAAAAACACCCTATCACCTGTGCGTGAACACTTCACAAAGTGATCACTCTAGATCTGACCTATCAATCCTCCTCCTCAAAGGAGACCTGCACAACGCTTTTTCAAAAGATTAGCTATCGAGAGAGTTGTCTCTTTTGAAACAATGCAGATCACAAAACCCAGGATGAAATGCGCAAGAGCAGGAGACAAAGCATTCTTGGTCAAGATATTTCCCCATGGAATGAGTTTCCAGAAAAGATTAGGCAAATCTGGTTTGCCACCCTATAAAAAATGCTGCAAAGCCTTTGTAAGTCTTTGTACCATAGCAAGAATGACACTCCCATCTAACCAAATATGCCCCTTCTCCAGAAATCGGACCCAAACAAATTAACCAACAACAATAATAAAATAAAACCTTGTATCCCGTTTAGCGTTCTTATGGCCAAGACAAACACTACCCCAGTATAGGAAGAACAAGCAAGAGATTAGTTTTAAAAACTTTTATAAAGTTTGACGAACACATTATATGATACATTATCATATATGGAAAAATGTTTTTGAATTTCATTATATTGTGTGATGGGCAGCAATGCAAAACATTCATATGACAATTTTTTCCACGTTTTAAGTCTTTTTGAAATAAAAGATTGACATGTACACAGATTTTTGATCTGATGCTTCTCTTGGCGGGAGGGATAGCTCAGTGGTTTGAGCATTGGCCTGCTAAACCCAGGGTTGTGAGTTCAATCCTTGAGGGGGCCACTTAGGGATCTGGGGCAAAATCAGTACTTGGTCCTGCTAGTGAAGGCAGGGAGCTGGACTCGATGACCTTTCAAGGTCCCTTCCAGTTCTAGGAGATAGGATATCTCCATTAATTTAATTTAATTTTGTGGATGTAAAAATTTCTCTTGGTTTTATCGGCAGTATCAAAAAACTATGTTGATTAATATTTGCACAGGAATTCTTATCATAATAACTGTCTGAATGTACTAGTCTTAAGGAAATGGTAACTGGTAGCAAATTTAGGCAATTAAATGACCACTGCTACATCCTTTTAGTTCTGAAACTTTCCTCAATCTATTTTGCCTCTCTCAACTTTTTTTTTTTGGAGAGGGAGGGCAATGGAGAAAGAGTATTAAGAGTATTGACTACTTATGCCCAGGCTTCTTTCAATCCATGCCTTGATTGCTATGAGATGAGGCTCTGTCAATCAAAATAAAATTGTAAAAGGTGAGGCTAAATTAAAAGTAACATTTTAATATACTGGATTCCATTAAAATGTAAACATTTACCACCAGATGCTGCATATTTACTAAATTATTTCATATTTTAAGTATAGGAAAAAAACTGTAGTATCTCTGAGACTGTGGTAACTATTGGCAAATAAATATTTTTAAGGTGACCACCGAGGCTATGTTGGTCCTTTGAGGAAAAAGTAAACAAGGTAAACTTATACTCATCTTTTGGGACAAAAATATTATTTATTGAAAAGTAAAATTAGAAAACCTAAAAAACTCCTTAAAATCAGGCTCTGACTTCTTGCTGATCCGGGATCTATTTATTGAAATTAAACATTAGAGAGATGCTGTTGAATATATTTCTCTACTTTTGCATTTTATTTCACATTAGTAGCCTCTTGGAAACTTTAAAGTAACAGGGCCTTTTCCATTTGATTGGTCTATGTTCACTTGGCAAATCTTGCATCTACTACTCCATTTCCAGGGTAAATAATGCAATACAAGAAGCTCCTTCTTAAATTAACTACTGAAAACAAAACTATCTGTAGGGTTAGAAAGATTCATATTTTCAAGTGCAGGCATAAGGATGCATGGCACATGCACGCACAATCTGTCAACAGTTTTGATGCTCCTTATTTAGATTTGGGAAATTGGACAATTTTGACTGTGTATGTATTCGTTGGTAGTTCTTTATTATAGTCAAGATAGTCACATCAGAAATGAAATTATATATCTTGCAGGAATATTTCATAGTGATGTTTTTATTCTCCTTTGTTAGAGAAACATGTGACAGACAACTTAAAATAAATGTGGGTAGTACAGGGAATGATCTCTAACCAGAAAAGCTGCAGCATTCTCAAATGAAATATACATGGTTCTGCACAGAAAGTTGAACAGATTAAAGAGAATTCACTTAAAGACTCCAGAAAGATAGCCAAGACGTTGTCTACACTAGACACATTTGTACATTCTAAGAACCATATGGTCCCCAAAGCCCACTCGTAAAGTACAGTGTATCCACACACAAGTGCTTCAGTTTATGTGCATGCCAAATACTGTTTGAAATAAAATTAATTTCAACACATCTAAATAAGTTTAGTCTAATCCCTTTCAGCCTGTATTGGGTCAGATATAGTGTTAGTATGAAAATGGTTCAGATAGTCATCCTACTGCTGACCCATAAAACAGCTGCAGCCTTTTGAAATTTCTCAGAATCCAGTGCCTCTAGGAAATATTGCTGTGAACGGTGGGAAAAGTATAAAGAGGGTGCTGCAACTGAAATTGTTTCCAACAGCTCTAATGTGGACAATGGGGAAAATCTGCAGAGAACAAGCAAGCATTGCTGCTACGGTTATTCTGATCATCTCACTAGTTCAGTCAGGATTGGTTCCGTTTTCCTGTGTAAACATGGCAGAGGTAGCTACTGGAGAATGAGAGCCCAAAAGAAAACCCAGAAAATCCCCTAAATGACTTAGGGGATTTAGTGGTCATACTGTGAAAACATTGATAAACAAGATGTAAATAACTAGTAAGAGCCACCAAACAATCGATTTAAATTGAAGAAATCCTATGAATAACATTGAAAACTACTGAAATAGGTAATATTAGGTAATAGGTAAAAGACCCTCCCTTTGACAATTTCCCCAGATTGAATTTTTTCCAAAAATTATAATAAAATAATAATAATAATTAATACTTACTTTTACAGCAGTGAGTTTGCAGCTGCTCTGCATTATCCTCTCCCATGCTTTTTGCCAAGAAAGTAGCAAGTGTTCTTAGAGGCCTTCTGTCAGATTTCCTGGCCTGACTTCTTGCTGCTTTGCGCTCTTAACTGACAGACTTCACTATCAGCCTTTAAATGGGTTATGAAAGAATTCTGGAGTCTGTTTTTCTTGTTCCTGGATTTTTCTTAAAAAATTTTATTGGAAGATTGTGGTCTACTAATTCTCCATCCTCCCCCCGTCTCCCCCTGTTTCCCCCCCTCCCCCAACTGCTTCCTGCCACCTGCCCTTTTAAATAGAAAGGGGAGGGGGCGGGAAAATAGAAAAATTGATTTAGAAAATAACCTTTTTTCCTAGTGGTTGTCTGTAACAGACCATTAAATTCACTTCCTTTTCTGCCATCACAAAGTTTCCTTTATGTCTTGGATCAATAGTTTAAAAGATTCAGGATGAGGAAACAATGTCTTAAGTCCTGCCTCAAAATTTTTGGAGCAAGCTTCTAATGCCTGTTTAGTCAAAGTCATATATAAACTACTTTCTTGTTTCATGCTCTTTTCCTCTCGAGTTTCGGTATTTCAGCCAAGTGTGTAACCAATCGACTTGTTAAAAGAAACAATTTAGCATCCTAATCCTAGACTGTCATTCTTTTTTTATAAGCGATTTATAAGAGGTCAGATTTCTACATTTTAAAAATCTCCCTGTCTTGCAGTTTTCTATAATGCCTATCAGTATAATGTCTAAGCACTTCACACACAAATTAAATCTGCTTGTAGAGGTCACTAGTGGACTTAAAGGAACTTTCTGCTCTTCTCCCCTCCTTGGATTAGCAGGCTCTCTTTGAGTATAATTTTATAAGGTTAAAACTGTATGGCTAAAATTTTAAAAAATAAATGCTTAAAGTGTTTTTAGTCCTGCATAAATATCGTGATTTTCAAAAATGATGAAAACCCAGAAATTTCACCTTAAATCATTGGGAACTGCTACGTGCTCAGTATTTTTAAAAATCAGAAAACTCTTATGTTGGTACCTAAATAGGGATGCAGGAGCCTGATGTGAGCTTCCCATTTTTAAAAATCTTATCCATATATTTTAAAACTAATGAGAGGAAAATCTTTTGTTAAAGTAATGATACAGGATTGCTACCAATGGGAAAAGAAATTACGTCCTGCACCATCTAGATTTTTCTTAGTTTTCTATTCAAGTATTAACTTACCAGTCTGTATATTAATTAGAGTGTGAGATCCTGCAAAAATTAAAGCCTGCAATAATGTAGCTGAAAGAATAGAAGTAGAAATTGGGAAAAGATTTGAAAACTGTGGGGCCAGGAAAATAAGTGCTTTAGAGTTACCACTGCAGGCAAATAAAGTCAATCTGTATACATTGCATTTTGTTAAAGTTACACAGATAACTCCAGACCCATTAGCACTTATTTGAAATGTGAAATCTGAACTGCCAGCGAATTTCTGAGCCATGGAGCATAACTGGAAATAATTGCCTAATAATAATAATGGGTAACTGTCACAAACTGTCATACTGTAATTTTAATCTGGCAACAGTGTCAAATAAGTCTAAATTCCTAAGTACAACAGTTTCAAGTAAAAATACATTATTGTGATTGTACATTTCAGAGGGATAGAAGAGTTTGTCAGTGCCATAAATTTTCTTTTTCTTACTTTTCAGAACATTCCTGATGTAGATGACGAAGGGTACAGTATTAAACCAGAAGCAAGCCAGAATATCCTTTTATCTATTGCAAATATATTCGGGTGGGATTGTTGTAGGGGGGCAGAGCTTGGCAGAGGGGACTTGGTGCGGGGGCGGGGGGCAGATTCAGGGGGTGAGGCTTGGGTGGGGTGGGTGTTCCGGGTGCAGGGGGATGGGGCTCGGCAAAGGGGTCTGCTTATGAGGGGAGTCTGAACGCAGGGGAGTTGGGCGGATGGGAGAGCAGCTCCCTGTACAGTGACCCCTCCCACTGCAGCTGAGGAGTGATGGGGACAGAAAGAGGGGGTGCAGAGCTTCCTGCAGCCAGGCGAGGTTCCTGAGGGTGGGTCTGACTCAGCCCCAGACTAGCAGCTGAGCCCGGCACAGAGTAGGAGCCACAGCCCCCCACAGTAATTTACTTCACCAGCTGCTCTGGGCACCCAAAGCGATGTGCCCACACTGCTGGTGAGGGGCGCGTAACTGCTCTTGCGGCTTCCCTTTGCTTCCCTGTCAGAACACATTTTTCTATGGGGAAGCAAAGAAATCTACGGGTGACATGAATTCTGCACGTGCACAGTGGTGAAGAATTCCCCCAGCAGTAAGGACCTCTCAGGGTAGTTAAGCGCTATAACATACCCCCTAGGGAGTTTGTGGAATCTCCATCGTTGAAGGTTTTTAAGAACAGGTTAGACCGGGGTGGGCAAACTTTTTGGGCTGAAGGGCCACATCTGGGTGGGGAAATTGTATGCAGGGCTGGGGCAAGGGGATGGGGTGTGGGAAGGGAGTGTGGGGTGTGGGAGGAGGTGAGGTGTGCAAGAAGGGGCTCAGGGCAAGGGATTGGGGCAGAGGAGGGGTGCGGGGTGTATGAAGGGGCTCAGGGCAGAGGGTTGGGGTGCGGACTGTGGGAGGGGTCTCAGGGCAGGGGGTTAGGGTGCACAAGGGTTGGGGTGCAGGAGAGAGCTCAGGGCAGGGGGTTGGTGTGCAGGAGGGGTGTGGGGTGCAGCAGGGGGCTCAGGGCAGGGGGTTGGGGTGCAGGAGGGGTGCAGGGTAAACGAGGGGGATCAGGGCAGGGAATTGGGGTGCAGGAGGGGTGCGAGGTGCAGGCAGAGGGCTTAGGGCAGGGAGTTGGGGGGCGGGGTGCAGGAGGGGTTCGGGCTCCAGCCCGGCGCCGCTTACCTAAAGCGGCTCCGGGGTGGCAGCGGCGCACGCCAGGGCCAGGGCAGGCTCCCTGCATGCCTGCCCTGTCCCCGCGCTGCTCTAGGAAGCGCTGCGGCCCCTGGGGAAGTGGGGGCGGAGGGCTCTGCGTGCGCTGCCCTTGCCGCACCTCCAGGTATCTCCCCCGAAGCTCCCATTGGTCGCAGTTCCCAGTTCCCGGCCAATGGGACCTGGGGGGGGGGCAGTGCCTGGAGGCAAGGTCAACGCATGGAGCCCTCTTTCTCACCCCCCCCTACGCCCCCGGGGGCTGCAGGGACTTGGTGCCGGCCACTTCTGAAAGCAGCGTGGGGCCCATGGCGCCACGGGGGGCAATCCCGCGGGCTGGTTCCAAAGCCCCGAGGGGCCGGATCCAGCCTGGGGGCCGTAGTTTGCCCACCCCTGGGTTAGACAAACCCTATCTGTCAGGAATGATCTAGTTATTACGTAGTCCTGCCTTGAGTGCAGGGGACCAGACTAGGTGACCTATCGAGGTCCATTCCAATCCTACACTTCTATGATTTTATGTGACCTTGAAACATCTCTGACTAACTTTCAAGGTGATGGGTGTTTTGCTAAATTAAAAAAGCTGTTTGCCTCCAGGATTGTCTGTTCCACCCGGGATCTTGGAAATTCTTCAGCCCTTAAAATCTGCAAGCTTTTATAGTCATCCAGATAATATGGTGCCAAAGGCATCATTGCCATTTCCAGAGACTGAGAGGAGATGGCCACTGGTGCCTGAGGGTATGTCTATACTGCAGTTAGATACCTGGAGCTGGCTTGTACCAGCTGATGCAGGCTCGCAGGGCTAGGGCTGCGGGGCTGTTTAATTGCAGCGTAGACTTCTGGGCTTGGGATGGAGCCCGGGCTTTAGGACCCTGTGAGATGGGAGGGCCCCAGAGCTCGGGCTGCAGCCTGAGCCCAGAATTCTACACTACAATTAAACAGCCCTGCAGCCTGTGCCCTGTGAGCCCAAGGCAGCTAGCACAGGCCAGCTGCACGTTTTAGTTGAAATGTAGACATAACCTGATTGTCCTCCTCTCAGGGTTCTTTTTCCTCCGTAGGCAAGCAGCAGACACCTCCGATTTGGTTGACTTAATATGCATGTGTGTAGAGAGGGTACATCATACATCATTTGAAAACGTATTATATCTACTTTAAGATGAAGTATGATCTGGAGCTCTCAAGTGGTGCCGTTACCATAGAAATGGGGATAAAGAATGACTATCAATATGTTAAAATGACGGCTTTGAAATATTTGCATTCTTTTCTGTTAGTTTAATGACGCTGATGTATTATTCCAAGACATAAAATTGGATTTCTTTCTCACCTCAAAGCATCACAACACAATCTAAAGGGTAAAACAAAATTTAATAATAAATTTGTACAGGTATCATTGAAATATACTAGCTCTGGTGACATTTCTAGTCAACATCACTATCATCATCTTGTTCATCATTATGACCTCTCTCTCGAGTGTGTGGGTTACCACAGTCTTCATTGCTTTGGCACACAGTTCTGTGCAGGGAAGATTGTTTGGATTACACACACAGTTGATTTTCTCAACTTTTCATGGCAAGTTGGATCTGGATGTGTTAAGTTTTTCAAATTCTGTACACTGCATAAGAGACTCTGATTGCCCCGGGTGAGTAAGTAACTTTTCGTTCCCAAGCTTCAGTGATATTTCTTGTTATGCTGGGTTATCTGCAAACTGTTCCTGAAATATCACTATAGCCATTGATTGGAAGATGTTCTTTCTTTCTTTCACTGGTCTCTGTGTGGATGTCTCTATTATCGTCTCCCTCATGGATGAGATTTCCACTAGTACGAAGTGGTACAATTCCATTTGGAATGAACACCTCCCTGCAGTCTTTCGACTTCATTTTTTGCAGCACTAGTGATGAACTGCCTCATCTCATCATAATGGATGCATAATCCATGAAGATGTCGTATGTCAGTTTCATTACAAGATCCAAACTCATGGTATAGCTGTGCAGTAGGGCTTACATGCCGTAGTATGATAATTTTGGGACTGTTAAATAGTATGCACCCCACAATTGAGAAGCACCTTCTTTGAATGTCTTCTAAAAGATGATACTCTTTGCAGGGTGAATTATATGCCTTTTTATCCATCAACCAAAAGACAAACTCCTGCACCAGATGGGGCACAGGTAGCTCACATCTGTAAACGACAATCATGTAGCTTTGGCTAATACTCTAAGGCTTTCATTTTGGGTATTTCAGACCAAAGGATTGAAGTGGCGTTATACAAAACCAATTGTTCATTTGAAAGCTGTTCATTAGGCTCACTCACCAGAAGAACATCTACAAAACATTTGGATGACTTAAGTTCCTGGCTTCAGATTAGTTTCAACTTGGATAGAATCAGGTAGTGTTATTGTGCTGCATAGAACAAAGATAGATGTGCCTTGTCCATGCTATGCATGGAATGAAATGACAAAACCATAGTGATCTTCTAATTTTGCCTGTAATTTGCTACTGGAATAGCTTCAAGTTTCTAGGTCTGAGGGAGGTAGGCTTTATATTTTTATAGCTGGTTGGACAAAAGAAAAGCCGCCTTGTACATAAGATCATTCTCTTTCTCCAATCAGCTGATAAGATGCAATGTCATAAAGTGACTGTATTGTTGACCTATAACTAGATGGTTTTGCCTTAAGATTTGTTTTACTGACGTAGAAAGAAAGGCATGTTAACTCAAAAAGTGCAGCATTAGCAATCAAGCCTTCCACAGATCTTTTGCGCAGCATGTCATCATCTCCTCTTTGAAGTGCTTGCCTCCCTTAGGTTGGTTATCTCATACGTTTTTGTTTTTATTACATTTCTTGTCTTTCTTGTGTGGTGTTTTTTTTTTCCCAACCAAACAATGCAACAGGACTAATTGCTGGAGGATGTGCTTGCTCTCGTGGCTATAGAAGCAGGTTAACGTGATGCTTTCTGATGAGTTTCAGAGTCTGTTTTCTTTCCTGGGTTCAGTACAACTCTGACATATCAAGTTCAACTTGCTTGTGTATTTCTGAAAGAAACCTCTGTGACAGAGTACAGTAACTCCTCACTTAAAGTCGTCCGGTTAACATTGTTTCGTTGTTACGTTGCTGATCAATTAGGGAACATGCTCGTTTAAAGTTGTGCAATGCTCCCTTCTAACGTCGTTTGGCAGCCGCCTGCTTTGTCCACAGGAAGAGCAGGAAGAGCAGCCCATTGCAGCTAGCTGGTGGGGGCTTTGAACCAGAGTGGACTGGCAGCCCCCCTATCAGCTTCCCACTCCCCTAAGTTCCCTGTGCAGCAGCTGCCAAGCAGGCCATCAATTGCCCGCAGTTCAGCTGTCCCTCCCCCCACTGCCATGTGCTGTTCCTGCCCTCTGCCTTAGAGCTGCTCCCTGAGACTCCTGCTTGCTGTAGGGGGCGGGGGGAGGAAGAGGTAAGCTAATGTCAGGGTGTTCCCCTCCCCCTGCTCTTGCACCCCGCTTACCCCATCTTCCATAGAGCGGGGGGGGGACACACGACAGGGCTGAGGATGGAGGGAGCTTGCTGGCAGCAGCTGTGGTCTTTTGTCTGGTGAAAGAAATTTCTCTGGAACCTAACCCCTCATTTACATTAATTCTTATGGGGAAATTGGATTCGCTTAACATTGTTTCGCTTAAAGTTGCATTTTTCAGGAACCTAACTACAACGTTAAGTGAGGAGTTACTGTATTGGTGGCACATCATCTAAACTAGAAAACTCATCCAGTAGCTGCAAAGACAGTTCATCTCTCCTAACTTCTGCTGCCTGCATCACGAATTCTGTCCAGCACTGGTGGTTTTTCACAGTTTTTCATTCCTTTGACTTTCTTGACAATACATTTCTTGTTTGTGGAGAGTCTTTTTCTCTTTGATGTAAGGGGGCTGATGTCCTCCATGTCGTTTTATACTGTAACTTCCCTGTAGAGGTAAAATTCCCAAAGTATATTACTAGCATAACTACCACCATTTTTCATCTTATACAAGTATACAGACTTGTGCTAAATTAGATATAAATTAGATCTATATGATAGTATTACAATTGCCATTTTTGTTTAATGAGCCATTTGTTTGAAGCCCAGTAGGAAGCTCTGTGTTGTTATTTCTAACACTAATACTGACTTGCACATAAGAGTCTCTGAATTAAAAAGCTGGTTTGTAGAATGTTTCAAAGGCTAGTACTGCATGGATAGGCAATTACAAATTAAAACCTTCTACCTGGCAGACTAGATGCCACACTGTATGTACAGAAGCTTACAAATGGAGAGGCATTACATTAGGAATTCACATACATTTATATCTACCCACTATGCAGTACAAACTACTGTGTAATCTACTACTACTGGTGCACAGTCTTCAGTGTGAGACTGATCTGGTCAGCACTTTTAAATTGAAAATATATAAAACTATTATAATCACTTGTGAGAAACTGACAATTAAGAATATATTGCAAAATGTTGATGATCACCATTTTTGTCACATTCTAAACAGCTTCTTCATTTCTGGGGGGGTGGGGGAGGGAAATACATCCCCATGCCAAAACAAATAAAAAAAAATATGTTGTCATTTGGTAGCTTCGGCCAATAATTTCAACACCTTAATGTAGTGTTTAACTTGAACAGTAATAACTATAGTTATAGTCATGTTGCTGAGTTTCTGGAACTGTGCAAAAAATGACACTTTCCCATTTTGGGTACCATTGTTTCACCTCGCCTGCAGGCTTACAGCACCACTTGACAGCTCCCCATCAGACCTCATCTAAATGTACATAAAATAAACTTTCAAATTATATTTGTTGTGGGTGTGTGTAGGGATAGGTACATTAAACTCCAAAAATATGTCCCTTTTTGGAGAAATGCCACACGCCTACAGGCAGTTCATCTAGAAGCTAGGTATCTTGAGGAGCTGCATGAAGCTGCACTGTTTTCTGCCTCCTGTGCTTCTCTCTGTGAGGTGATGCATTCAGGGTATGCTCTTGATATGGACATCTGGGGCTCCAATATGGCCGTGAAGGAATATTATAAGGAAAAGGAGTAGGGGCCCAAAGAGAGAGCAGAGAGGAGGAACTGAGCAGCGGTTGTCTAACAATGTATATTTGCATATAAGGGGCAGCAATAGCTGGTGTCTGTCATGAATTCTTGGCAGGTTCCAAGTGTTATTAACTGGAAGAGTTACTCTTCCCAACAAAGATACGTACGAAATGTTCAGTAATTTGAGAGTCTTGTACCATGGGATGTTCTCTCTTACACCTGTCTATGAAGACCTCCCTCTTTGTGGCAGTCACATTTGCTAGGAAGGTGGAGGAGATGGGGGCTCTTACAATGGCGCGCACACACACACACCCCCATACTATTTTCCACTGTGTCAAGGTATTCCTTAGGATACAGCCTAAATTCCTACCAAAAAAAGTGTTAGATTTCCATATAAATCAGGTCATACATCTACCTACATTTTTTTCCTGAGCCCCATGCTAATCATGGTGAAGCTACGCCACATACCCTTCACGACACAGGACCCTAGCCTTTTAACTTCAGTGAGTGAAACCTTTTAGGTCCTCTCCTAGGCTGCTGCTATTCTTTGACGAGAGTGTCCTTCCAAAGATTATTTAAATGGGTTTCAGGGTGTATTAGGCTCTGATATGACCTAGCTAAATTAGATCCACCAGACAGTATTATAGCCCATTCTGGTAGGTTGCAGTCAGCCTCAGCTGCTTTGTTGAGAAGCATTCCCATAACGGATCTCTGTAAAGCTGCCACCTAGGGCTCTTATGCATACCTTTACTAGACATTATGCTTTAGTGGAAGCATCTAAAGCAGACGCTTACTTTGGCAGAGTTGTTTTGCAGTCTATTGTGAAGACTCAGAGCACCTACCACCTTAATTAATTCACTGCTTGGGAGTCACCAAGAGTGGAATATGTATGTGGACCAGCACTTGAAGAAAGAAAAGTTATTTACCTGTTGCCATAGGGTAACTAGTCCCTGTGGCTAGATTAAGCCCAGCACTCCTGTACCAGAGCAAGTGAGTCCAATCCAGCCAATTATAGAGGGCTGGGCTACACCTGAGCCTATAAAGGGCTGCGAGTAAGCAGCTGGGCAGGAAGGACTGAGATAGGCTAAGCGTTGGGGAAGAAAAGCTACACTGGAGTGGAGCTAGCTCCTGTGATGGGTCCCTGGAGCAATGGCCAGGGGCTCAGGGAAGCAGCCCTGATGCTGGGAGGCTGCCAGGAGCTGGAGTGTCAAAAACTCCTGTTAGGGATGGCCCTGAAGCCTGGGGTCAAGGCTAGAGTTAAGTCCCTCTGTTATGACAATAAACCTTTTTGACTGAGGTCTTTTCTATATTACCCACTGGATCGACGGGCTGCGATCGATCCAGCGTGGGTTGATTTATTGTGTCTAGTCTAGACGCGATAAGTTGACAGCTGAGCGCTCTCCCGTCGACTCCGGTACTTCACCAGGGCAAGAGGCACAGGCAGAGTCGACGGCAGAGCGTCAGCCGTCGACTTACCACGGTAAGTAGATCGAAGTAATGTAGCTGAAGTTGAAGAACTTAGATCAATTCCCCCCCCCCGCCCCCCCACCAGTGTAGACCAGGCCTGAGACTGGGCATGACAGCGCATGCTTTGGAGCTGGGGAGAAGCGACAGCCCTGATGACACCTGTACACTAACAAGGATCCTTTGAGATGATGTCCACATATTCCTCAACGCACTCTTCTTTGGAGTCCTACAGTTGGATTCTGCAGTGGAGGAGAAATTGAGGGACAGTTGGTTCCTTGTCACCTTTTATTCCCTCAGGACAGGAGCATGAGCACTCTCAGAGCACATGTACAGATCCAATGGACATTGCTAGACAAAAGACTCCAATCTCAAGCGCATGGAGTACATACACACCAAAGTGGAATAGATATATCTTGAATTCCAGTTACTGTATTATTAAATAACTTATTTACAGAGGGGCAGAAATGATTCAGAGGTTTGGTAACTTGCCTGTAGTCACAGTGTGAGTTGGTGGCAGAGCTGGGAATAGAACTCAGAAGTCTTAACTCCATTTTATGCTCCAACCTGCACTGCAGACAAATTAATACTACTGTAGAGCCTAAATTTTTCCATTCTGGTCATTTGTGATTTTAAATTTGTAACAGTAAAGTTGCATTAACATACCTTCTGCATTTGTTAGATGCTTAGGGTGAAAGCATCAGTTTAAAGTATGAGTGTTGGCAAACTGTGGATGGTGTTTTCAAGTAGCTATTGTCAGACACTTTTTTAACTGTTAGTTTTATGCATGAATAGTGTTTACTTGCTGCAGATGTATATGTTGAGGAGTGTATGAGAAACTGATTTATTCATTATATAGGTGACACTAAAATATCAGTTACCTTAACTGAGAAAAAACATACCAAAGAGAACCATTTCTACTCATCCAGTGATTCTGACTCTGAAGATGATGAACCGAGGAGGTTCCATGTAGAAATCAAACCTGTACAGCCAAATAATAGCTCTCACTACACTATGGCTTCATTGGATGAATTAAAAGTATCTATAGGGAACATCACTCTTTCTCCAGCAATATCTGTAAGTAATTTGTTCCATATATTACATTTAGCAGAGAAGCAAATTAATATGTTCCTTACATTTTGTTTCACATTAACTATTAACGTTACTCTTTGTTTCTGGGATTGATGTTAATTCCAGGTGTGAGATGTGCTCCAGGGGACAACCTTTACAAATGAAAGGAAAATAGTGACTATTATCTTCTCCCCAAGCCCCCTGCAAATATAACCTCTCTATTCTGAGATCCATGTTTTGGGTTTAAATTGCGATGTGTTGGGGATTATTTTTAACAGATGGATGAGATTTGTATTGGATCATAAGTGCTTTGAAGCTAAGGGGATGAGTACTATAGAAAACCCTAAGATGAGGGGTATATATTACATTACATTGCAGCTTGCTGTGTTTTATTCCTTAGGATGATAGAGTGATGCTTTTGTATTTAGGATTAACATTACGGTTGAACCTTATAAGTGATATCAGCGCAAAATGAAAGTTAGAATAAAAAGGCGTGTACATTAAAGCAAATATTTGACGTACAATCTTATTTTTAAAAAACTAGGTGAAAGTCTGTGCTGGCATACCTATGTCATTCATAACATGGGGGGGGGACCTAAAAATGGCTAAGAACTTAAAAACTGGATTGTAAAAAACCACAAATCCCAGTGATGATTGAACCTGGTGATATTTTAACCAAAAAGAGCAGTCAACCTGCTTCTAGCTGTTTCCATCACTTCATGCTGACTCAATAGACACTCTAGGCTTCAGAGTGACACAAAGGCAGAATGTCAGTCCTGGAGTCTTATTATATAGGTATATTAATCATGTTTTCCCCTTTTTCTTCTGCATGCTGATACTAGAGACACAGTCCTGTAAGTACAAAAATCCTTTTTTTTTTCTATTTTTAAATTTAAAAACGAAATAATTCTTGTTTAAGGGAGGAAGCAAGTTCTAATGGTTAAAGCACAAGACTGACTCTTGGTCTGGGTTCTCTTCCTGGATCTGTCAAACGCTGGCTGGGTGATCTTGTGAAACTCAGTTTATTCATCCATGCTGTAAAATAAGCATGGGTGGCAGGTATCAAAGGCAGGGGAAGGCTGAGCCTCCCCAAACAGTCTTGCGTGGCCCCACCCATGCTCCACCCCCAGGTCCCTTCCTGCTTCCCAGCGCTGTGCTGGGGGAGGGGGGGGGCTCTTCTCCCTGCCCTGGGGCTAATTGGGGCCAGCTAATGGGAGTTTGGGGGGGGGTCTGCACCGTCTGCCCACCTGGCGTTCTGAGGCTGGGGGAGGTGCACCACCCAGCTGGCACTCCAGGGCACAGCGCCTGGCACTCCACGGTTGAGGGAGATGGGGGTGAGCCTTGTCACCTGCCTGGTGCTCCAGGGCTAGGGGAGGGGCACTGCGTTGCCCACCCGGCGCGCTTCTATGGGAGTGCAGGGTGTTGGGCAGAAGGGGCAGGCCGGACCAGGGGCTAGCCTCCCCAAGCCCATTTTGATTCAAGTATCAGTAGACTTGCAGTAAATACAATGAAATTGCACTTAAGGAACTAGCTAAAGCAATCTCAGAACTATTAGCAATTATCTTTTGGAACTCATGCAGAATAGTTGAGGTCCCAGAGGACTGGAGAAGGGCAATTTATAGTTACCTGCCTTTAAAAAGGGGAATAAAGAGGACCCAGGGAATCATAGGCTAGTCAACCTAACTTTGATACCTGGAAAGATACTGGAACAAATTATTAAACAATCAGTTTAAGTGCCTAAAGGATCATAGGATTATAAGGACTAGCCAGAATGGATTTATCAAGAACAAATCATGCCAATCCAACCTAATTTTCTTTCTTTGACAGATTTACTGGCGTAGTGGATGGGGGGGGGAAGCAATAGATGTAATATATCTTGATTTTGATAAGACTTTTGACACAATCCCACAATACATTCTCATAAGAAAACTAGGGAAATATAGTCAAGATGAATTTACTATAAGGCTGATGCACAACCAGTTGAAATATTATACTCAAAGAGTAGTTATCAATGGTTAGCTGTCAAACTGGAAGGGCATATCTAGTGGGGTCTTGCACGGGTCAGTCCTGGGTCCTGTACTGTTCAATATTTTCATTGATGACTTAGATAATGGAGTAGAGTGTGCTTATAAAATATGTTAATGACACCAAGCTGGGAGAGGGGTTGCATGCACTTTGGAGGACAGAATTAGAATTCAAAATTACCTTGACAGATTGGAGAATTGATCTGAATTCAACAAGATGAAATTCAGTAAAGATAAGTGCAAAGTACTTCACTTGGAAAGGAAAAATCAAATGCACTACTACAAAATGGGGGATAACTAGCTAGGTGGTAATATTTTTGGCAAAGATCTGGGGCTTATAGTTAAGGCTGCAAGTTTGCGTCAGAGGTCACGAATTCCGTGACCCTCAGTGACTTCTGCAGCAGCCAGTGCACCTGGCTTGGGGGCAGCTCAGGCAGCCCCTGCGCCAGGCGCACCGGCCCCTGCTGGGGCAGTCTCAGGCCACCAAACCCCCTTCCCCTCCAGCAGCAGAGTTTGGGTATGGGAGGGGGCAGAGGGTTGGGGCATGGGATGGGGTGAGGTGGGCTTTGGGTGGCGCTTACCTGGGGGGTTCCCCGGAAGCGGCCACATCCCCCTCACTCAACTGCTAGGCGGAGGCGTGGCCACTGTGGGCTGCCTCTGCCCAGAGCACTGGCTTCACAGCGCCCATTGGCTGGGAACTGCAGCCAATGGGAGCTGCAGGTGGAAGCAGTGTGCTGAGCTGCCTGGCCACGCCTCTGCCTAACAGCTGAGCGAGGGGGAAGTTGCCAGTTCCGGGGAGCCCCCCAGGTAAGCGCTGACCAGAGCCCACCTCACTCCATCCCGTGTCCCAACCCCCTCCCACACCCAATCTCTGCTGCTGCTGGGGAGGAGGTGCAGAGTCAGGTAGGGAGCCTGCCAGCCCCGCCAACCCCCCTAGCACCAGCGGGGGTCCCTGGCTGCGTGCCGTCCCCCCCTCCCCCCAGCGGGGGACTCAGGCCACCCTCCTCCAGCACCCGCGGGGCCCCCAGGCAGCCCTCCCCCAAGTTTTATTCACAGGTATTTTTAGTAAAAGTCGTGGACAGGTCACGGGCCATGAATTTTTGTTTACTGCCCGTGACCTGTCTGTGACTTTTACTAAAAATACCCGTGACTAAAATGTAGCCTTAGTTATAATGGATCACAAATTGAATATGAGTCAACGATGTGATGCAGTTGCTAAAAAGGCTAATTTCATTCTGGGGTGTAGTATCAGGTGTATTGTATGTAAGACAAGGGAGGTAATTGTCCTGCTTTACTTTGCACGGGTGTGGCCTCATCTGGAGTACTGTGTCCATTTCTGTGCACCACACTTTAGGAAAGATGTGGACAAATTGGAGAGAGTCTTGAGGAGAGCAGCAAAAATGATAAGAAGTTTAGAAAGCCTCACCTCTGAGGAAAGGTTAAAAAAACTCGGCATGTTTAGTCTTGAAAAAAGATGACTGAGGGGGACCTGATTAACGGTTTTCAAATATATCAAGGGCTTCAAATATATAAAATTGTTGTCCATGTCCTCTGAAGATAGGACAAGAAGTAATGGGCTCAATCTGCAGCAAGGGAGATTTAGATATTAGGGAAAACTGTCTAACTATAAGGGTAGCTAAACTGTGGAATAGGCTTCCAGGTAAGGCTTTAGAATCCCCATTTTGGAGATTTTTAAGAACAGGTTGGACAAACACCTATCAGGGATGATCTAGGTTTACTGGGTCCTGCCCCAGTACAGGGGGCTGGATTTGATAGCTTCTCAAGCTCTACATTTCTATCATTCTGTATACTTCAAAAAATACATTATTTCAATACTATTTCTTTTTAGCTTTCTGTACCTAAGAACATGTTTATATGTGTTCCATATCCCCTTGGTTCCAATACACAGTATGTCTGTGTTTACACTTATGGCATTGTAAAGTACAGGCACTACACATGTAGCTACACGTGGCAGTACAAGGCTCTGGTAGCAGGACGCTACACTACTAAAAATAGTGGGAGGCACTTCTTTGGTGAATAGAGAACCATGTAGGGTATATACTGAAGGGGTTCAGACATGCAGGGCACTTTCTCAACTCTATTCACCCAAGCCAGACCTCACCCTCTACCACTGCTGTTTATACCCATACTGTCTGGGTGTGCAGTGTGTGTGCTCTACATGCAGCCATACATGTAGACTTACTTTTTGAAGGTGCTCCAGAACTGCTGTAGTGTTAGGGTGACCAGACAGCAAGTGTGAAAAATCGGGACAGGTGGTGTGTGTGTGTGTGGGTAATAGAAACCTATATAAGAAAAAGACCCAAAAATCGGGACTGTCCCTATAAAATCGGGACATCTGGTCACCCTATGTAGTGTCAGCTAGCTGACTTTTGCTGTATTCATGGTGTGCTGCAAAGCCTAGCTTTCCAAGAGCAGTTGCTCTTAGACTGTTTTCCACTCACCCCCATCTCTCCCTCAACTGCCAACTGCTGACATGCTGCCAACTCAGCTTGCTCTTTTTCCACAAGCCTCCATCTTAATTTCCCTGCTTCGACTCCCACCTTCAAACTCCAAATAGCCTTTCCTGCCACCTTGCCTTCTGCCAGTGCTCCCTGTTCCTCTGTTCTCCTCTCCTGCCTGCCTTACACTCACTTGTAGCCTGCTCATGTTCTGTGCCCTTCCCGAGCTTTACACTGTCTCCCCAGCATTGAAAATAAAACGATGAATGGGAGGGGGTATATGCTAAATAATACTGTGCCATTTAGTTCTTTAGTAGATGGTTAATAAAAAATGTTTATTTGTATTATTTTTCATTTCTATTTTAGGCTCAAATGAACAGGAATTCACCTAGTAAGTGCAAACTTTAACTATTAGGGTATACTTTGTATTTTTCTTATCAAAATCTTTATATTTAGCATGAAAATTTAATTTCCTGATTATGATCAATTTTTATTTTTGTATTTTAAATACAAGAAAGATGCCTGTCATCAGCTCTTGTTGCCATAAAAATTAATCATAAAAAATAAATTTACAAAAAATAACCACCCAACAGATGTATTAAAACTTGAAGAAAAAATGTTAAATGAACATTACCTGCCAGTGTTTCAAAGCAGTGAATGCGGTCCACCCAAAGATCTTAATGCATCGGCCTTCCTAGCTCTCCCCAAAAGTCCTAGCATCCTGCAAGGTTTAATAGATTCATGCTGTTTGTGATCAATGATCGGGAATAAGTTCCAGAGCGAAGGGGCCCTCATTGAAAACATTCTATTGTCAGTCCTGTGTACTGAGTACTCTAGCTCATGTCCCAAATCCCCAAACCAAAAACTCCTCTTATTCCGCTGTCAAACTTTCTCCTTCACCCCATGTTTTGTTCTCCTGCTGCATAAAAAACAGCAGTTTGTCCCAGTCCCGTGATCAAAAAGTGTGCTCCCAGCCACACTGAGTCTCAGCAGGAGCAGGGACTTAGAGGATGGAGTCCTGGTGAGTGAGGAGGCAGACCAGGCCAAGCACCTACTGAGCAGCAGTGGAAGAGTGTCAGCTGCTGTCCCCTTGCTGGATTCTGGCTGGAGCAGTGGGAGTTCACTCTTAAAATGGAGAATCCCAGTCAATGGAGGAAAGGCTGGGTGAAGCCATGATAGCGGTGATTACAGTCCCTCAGAAAGGAGTTGTGCTTTAGAGTGCTGTTTAATAAAGATGTGAGAGCGGACTCCCATGCATTTTGAGTTCAGTTCCTCCCCTGAGACGTACACAGTGTAAATTACCTCAAAGGCGGCCATGATGTGAAGTAGTCAGAAAATAAATTTGAAATGCTGCATGATAATACTGTTCAATGATAGCTCATTAGTATTAGCTTTTGAAAGAAAATGCAAATTACATGGCCCTTATTTTGGGGAAGAGTAGTATTTGCTTCAGGAAATAGCAACTAGCCTTTTACTAGTATTATCTTGTTAGTATTCTAGATGCTAAAGAATTAAAATGTTTGTTTTTAAGTTGTTTCATGTTCACACTTTAATCCACTTTTCCTGGAAAACTTAGATGACCAGTAACATCTGCTAAAAATGAATGGTTTTTCTGCTGCAGTAGGGACTTAAAACTGCAAAAGAGTGAAGTTGACCTATGTTATGTCCCATAAAGATATACTTTCAAAGGACCAAGACTTTCTAACAAAAATCATCCTTCATTTTTGTATGTTAAGCATATTTTAGGAAGTATTTTAGAAGCAGCTGACTCATAACATCACATAAATAACACTAACTTCATCCTTTCCATTTCCTTCTGAATTATTTTCATTGCAGCTATTATCATTCCAGATTGTTTTTTATCATGAAGCTGAATGATTTTGTTTATCAAATTTCATGGCTTTCATTTGTCATAAAAGGTTGTTTTTTTTTAATTAGGTGAAGAGTTAACAAAATCAAAGCATTCTGCCCCATCTAATGAGTAAGTTCCACATTTAAAATGTAGGCTTTACATTGAATTCCATTTTTGTGGGGGTTTTGGTTTGATACAGGATTGAGAAATTCATTGCTAGACAGGGCTGCCCAGAGGGATGGGCAAGTGGGGCAATTGCCCGGGGCCCCGCGAGCCCTGACCCGACGGCGGTCCGGGTCTTCGTCAGCATTTTGGCGGCGGGGGCCCTTCGGTGCTGCCGAAGACGTGGAGCAACTGAAGGCCCCCCCACCACCGAAATGTCGCCGAAGACCCAGACCGCCACCAGGTGAGCACAAGCGCCGCAGCTCCCCTGCTTTGTCTCAGGCCCCCTGAATCCTCTGGGCAGCCCTGTTGCTAGACTTGGCTATCCAGTTTAGGCTGGATAGCTAGTGATTCCTAAGAAGTGAGAACTTATTCAAAATTCTTTATTTAAAAACTGGAAATTTTATCCTATCCTCTTCCCTTCATGGGCATGCCTTTTTTCCACCTGTTCATTTTCTTCATTGTGATTGTCTCAAATAATTATTTTACAAATGTTATTTTATATTACAATTATTAAAAATAATAGAAATTGGTTAACATTCTAAATTAATCTAGAAGCTACCATAACTTTTAGGGAATGCAAGTTTGATAGGATCAAGATTTGGGCTGGTTCACATACAAGTTTTACTGAAATAACTAAATCAGTTTTAATTAGGGCTGTCAAGTGATTAAAACAATTAATCCCACTGCTAAACAATAATAGAATACCATTTATTTAAATATATGTTTTCTACATTTTCAAATATATTGATTTTAATTACAACACAGAATACATAAGCGTACAGTGCTCACTTTATATTTATTTTTATTACAAATATTTGCACTGTAAAAAACAAAAGAAATAGTATATTTCAATTCACCTAATAGAAGTACTGTAGTGCAATCTCTTTATCCTGAAAGTTGAACTTACAAATGTAGACGTATGTACAAAAAAATAACTGCATTCAAAAATAAAACAGTGTAAAACTTTAGAACCTGCAAGTCAAATCAGTCCTACTTCAGCCGATCGCTCAGACAAACAAGTTTGGTTACAATTTGCAGGAGATAATGCTGCCCACGTCTTGTTTACAATGTCACCTGAAAGTGAGAACAGGCGTTCGCATGGCACTGTTGTAGCTGGCATCGCAAGATATTTACCCTAAAGATATTTACGCAACATATTTATGCTAAAGACGCACGTTCATTTTCATAATCTGAGTCAGATTCCACCAGCAGAAGGTTGATTTTCTTTTTTGGTGGTTCAGGTTCTGTAGTTTCTGCATCGGAGTGTTGCTCTTTTAAGATATCTGAAAGCATTGTCCACATCTCGTCCCTCTCAGATTTCGAAGGCACTTCAGAGTCTTAAATCTTGGGTCGAGTGCTGTATCTATCCTTAGAAATCTCACATTGGTACCTTCTTTGCGTTTTGTCAAATCCACTGTGAAAGTGTTCTTAAAATGAACATATGCTGGGTCATCATCCAAGACTGCTATAACATGAAATATATGGCAGAATGCGGGTAAAACAGAACAGGAGACATATAGTTCTCCCCCAAGGAGTTCAATCACAAATTTAGTTAACGCATTATTTTTTTAACGAGCATCATAAAGCATGGAAGCATGGCCTCTGGAGTGGTGGCCGAAGCATGAAGGGGCATATGAATGTTTAGCATATCTGGTACATAAATACCTTGCAACGCCGGCTACAAAAGTGCCATATGGACGCCTGTTCTTACTTTCAGGTGACATTGTAAATAAGAAGTGGTCAGCAGTATCACCCGTAAATGTAAACAAACTTGTTTGTCTTAGCAATTGGCTGAACACGAAGTAGGACTGAATAGACTTATAGGCTCTAAAGTTTTGTTGTTTTGTTTTTGAGTGCAGTTATGTCACAAAAAAAACCCTACATTTGTAAGTTACACTTTCATGATCGAGATTGTACTACAGTACTTGTATGAGGTGAATTAAAAAATACTATTTTTCGTTTATCATTTTTACGGTGCAAATATTTGTAAAAAAAAATAATATAAAGTGAGCACTGTACACTTTGTATTCTGTATTGTAATAGAACTCAATATATTTGAAAATGTAGAAAAACATCCAAAAATATTTAATAAATGTCAATAGGTATTCTATTGTTTAACAATGTGATTACGTGCAATTAATTTTTTAATCGCAGTTAATTTTTTTGAGTTAATCACGTGAGTTAAGTGCCATTAATTGACAGCCCTAGTTTTAATTAACATATTTTGTTGAAAAAGGAAATAGGACACTTTTATTCTGAAATAAGAGTGCCCACACACAAATTTGCACCGAAATAACAAAAAGTGTAAATTTAAAACATTTCATTCTTTTGGTGAAAGTCTGTGTGTGAACCAGCCCTTTGACCTACATTTATCCAACAGAATATTTTTATGTGGCAGGGAGGTTCTCATTAGATTGATTACAGCACACAAGTCACTTCAATAATTCGGTTGTTGTTATAAATATGTATGCTTTGTATTTATTTTCCAATTTTAACTGTTACAATAGGAAGGGGAACAATGACCTCCTCGCCTGGGATCTACCCTTTGCCACTTCTCTTGATTCATCTTCTTCAGCTTCATTGACATCCTCAGCCTCATTAGGTAAAATATTTGATACTAGAAATTATATTTTAAATCCTAAATGTTTATTATAAAAATCTTCTTTGGGGTTTGTTTTGTTATTTTACTATTGGAAGGGATTTGCATTAGAGAGAATTGCAATGAGAGAGTTTTGAAATATGATCTCTCATTTATATGATATAACTTGTATGTACAGCAGGATACAGCGTGTTAGAATGTGGATTACTATAAGTAGTTGTGTCCATTCTTTAAGCATCTGAATAAACTGAAGGCAGAGTCCATTTTTTGCTAGTACTGTGCACAGCTCTTCCTATTTCCTCTATAATCCACCTACTTTTACTGGGTTCCCTAAGCACTACTTTTTCCCTGGGTTACAGTCCAAATAATGTATGGGGCTCTTCCTGCTCCTTCACTTGTCTCTCTTCATAGGAAAGGATTCTCCCCCTTGTTTCTTTTAGGTCAGTGTAACTGGAGCACTGCCTCCAGAGCACCCTATTGTGGTCTGAGGTGGCCTCGTAGGCACCCTGCCCCCAGTTTCTTGTATTCTCTGCAATGATTGACTGACTACCAGACCTGGGAACAATATCACCCTTCTGTGGGGTCTGACTCATTACCTCTTTTACAGAGTATAAAACTCTTCGTTAACCCCACAAGTCCAACTCTTCTCCCTGGTTCTGGAGTCCCAGAACCCCTCCCCCAAGGGCCCATGCTACAGTTCAAGGAAACTTCTCCTCCTAGGGTCAGGAGTCCCACAGCAGTCCTTGTTGGGACTGTGTTGATTCAAATAGGCTTCCTCTCCTGGGTTGAGGAGTCCCATAGCCCTTCTGTTGTGGCTGTGCTGATACAGGCCAACTGCAGCCTTCAAGCAGCTTTTCCAGCTGGCCCCTCCTTACTTAATCCCCATCTCCTTGGGCTGGGACAGGTCAGGAGGCAGCCATCCTTCCCCTGATGGTGTATGTCCTGTTATTAGAGAGAAGGTAGCATATATGCTGCCCTTTCTCCCAACCAACCAGGAGGAGCTCTGGGAAGGAGGGGAACCTTGCTCTACCTGCACTACAAGGCTTCTGGTTCTGGGTCCTTAAAGAAACAGTAGCCTGTGTTCCCACCAAGCATTAATTGTTCCCACAGGGATTATCTTCCTTTCTCTCAACACCTGCCTTTGTCCTTTGCTAGGCATTTGTCCACTCAAAAAGTCACAGGAGCTTTAAAGGGGCACATTATGGAACAGGTTGACTGGCCCGTAGTCCCTACTACCCTTAAAGGGACAGTCAGTAATCCTGTTACAACAAGATTAATGAAGAACTCAGATCCTCCTTTTTTAATGCTAGTGCCATTCCAACTTTTCCTCTCCACTAGATCTTATGCATGGAAGGGCAAAAAGGAAGCATGCATGCATAGGTAGGAGTAATCTGTGTAAGGAGTCATTGACATTGCTATCACAATAATTAATTATAGACATTCTTAAAATGAAACCTATTCTTACCTTGCCTACATGCTTCTTACAAATTGCTTTGACTTTAAAATAATGAATGGATTTTATTTTTCTCTATTTTCGGGTCCCTTGTAGAAGGACCCTATGAAAAACAATGGAAACCAACTGCAGGAAGTACCTTGATGGGTTGCCCATCTCCTTGCATGTGTCTATTGGGCTTTTAACTTCATAATGTAATGTAAAGATTTAATAGGTGTGGTAATTAGACACTTATTGATCACCACATCTGTTAATTTTAAAAAATACATTGTTAAAATCTAAGTTTACCTTAAATTAGGTCCCCTGCAACGAAGTTAGGCAACCCAGCAAGGGAATTTCCTGCAGTGACATCCTGCTATGCATCACTGGATGTTTCCCATAATGATCTGATGTAAGGAGAGAAAAAAATGAGCCATTGTTTTTACAATTTTGAAATTATGATTTCATGCTAATCTTTTGGTTTTAAGGACGTCAAAGTATTCTGTTTTCAAACTTAAATCTGCTTGTTAGTGGTGTAAACATTTCCTTTATTCAAAAGTTACGGTTATTTCTCTTCAGATGTTACAAAAATGTATTTTTACATTGAACTCGTGGTATGATCCTTGGCGAATACCTTTATTTAACTAATTATTTTAATGGAACATGGCATTGAAGAAAGAGGAAAATTTTAAGAATCTTTGGATATCCTTGCATTTGCCTGTAAATGGTTCAGTGGGTCACAATTATCTAGACAAATTACTTTTGTTGCAATAGGTTATTGTAAGAAGTATTCCATGTTTAATTATTAAAGTTGATGCTCTGAAAATTTTCACATAACCAGGAATAAACAGCCAAATTAAGCGTTTTATTTTTTTATTCAGTTAAGATCAAGCTTGATATGAATTTTGAATATCATAGCATTTTACATGATTTCCAGAAATTTGGGTTGGCTTTCTGTTGTTGTGAATAGTTTGCTCAGGACACTTTTATTACTATTTTCAAAGGGGCGTCTCAGATGCTGCCCTATAGTGTGCAAATTTCTTCATAACCCCTTTTTTCTTGCTATTTTCTGTAGCACAATCTGTTCCTTTACAAAAAAGTTCTTTTTGTTCCTCATGTATCCTGTCTAAAGATTGTACAGCAAATACCACCAGTACCTCAGGTAAAAATGGTAACTTTTAATCCAGTTATAATTAGTGTTTTATAATAGCTAAGAGATAAGAAGTGTCCCAGGACCTAATCCAAAGCCCTTTGAAGTCAATGGACTTCAGCTGACTTCAGTGGACTTTGGATCAAGCCTCATAACATTTGTTTATATGTTTTCATTCTTTGCTACAATAGAGGCTTATTACTATACAAAGTGTTAGTCAATCAGCAGGCTAGCTGACCCTAATTTACTGATAAATTGAAATGAGCGAGAGAGTGAGTGTTACAAATTAGATTTATAAAAATAGCATGGACTTTTCTAATTAACCTGTCTTTTTATTAGCTGAAATGCAGATTTTGTCAAAAACCAGCCAGAATCCAGTTGTTAAAGACAAAGGAACCTAAGGCCCAGATTTTTAAAGGTGTTACTGCGTTCAGCATTGCAGTGATTTAGCATTGCTTTGATTTAGAAGCATACATTTCATTTTCAAATGGGATTTAGGCACTTAGGACCGTAAATCTCATTTAAAGACTACTGAGGGCCTAAATCACTTTGGAAAATGGGATGTCAATGCTTTTGAACATTTTAGCCACAGTGAGTAATGCTCACTTCAGTTGATCCTTGTCCAAAGCAAAATGAATCCGTCTACATGTGTTACCTGATGTATACAATATTAAATAAAGCGAGTATTCTAAAATATCACAGAATAAATATAATGTACTTTGGAAAAATATGTGCCGAGGCAAAAGCAACAATAGGCAATTATCCTGTGAAAGTACCTAAGTTCTGATAGTATTATTTAAATCAAGCTGACCTTTATTGCTCTTTGAGCTGCAATTAGATACCAAGAGGTGGGATTTCCAAAACCACTGGGTTTGGACCTAATTCGGCACTCCTTGAAGTCAGTGGGAGTTTTATCATTGACTTCAGTAGGACAAAAGTTAAGCCAATGCTTAGCTCTTTTGACAATCCCATCCCAATAATTAAGTTGTTGACTGAAATGTACTTGCAAGTACATGCAACATACATGTAACATATTGTGGTTTAAAAAGTCACCACATGGGCATTCTTTTCCTTTTTACCACTGCTTAAAACCTTCCTTTTGGACAGTGTTTTGCAGCTCAATATGAATTACTATAGTATTAAACAATTGGTAGGCCTTGCAGCATAGAAGTAAACTTAGATCATTCAGTGAATAATTGCCCTTTGATAGATCTTGAAGCAAACTTTGTTATCGTGGGAAAACATGATAGAAATTATTTTGGCTAGTTATGCTTTCCGTATTAGTTATTCATGTATAAAAATGCTTCTTTCATGTCCTCTTTTTTTCTTCCTTCCCCATTTTTTAAATTAAATTAATGGAGATATCCTATCTCCTAGAACTGGAAGGGACCTTGAAAGGTCATCGAGTCCAGCCCCCTGCCTTCACTAGCAGGACCAAGTACTGATTTTGCCTCAGATCCCTAAGTGGCCCCCTCAAGGATTGAACTCACAACCCTGGGTTTAGAGGCCAATGCTCAAACCACTGAGCTATCCCTCCCACCAAGAGAAGCATCGGATCAAAAATCTGTGTACATGTCAAACTTTTATTTCAAAAAGACTTAAAACATGGAAAAAATTGTCATATGAATGTTTTGCATTGCTGCCCATCACACAATATAATGAAATTCAAAAACATTTTTCCATATATGATAATGTATCATATAATGTGTTTTTTAAAAACTTTTATAAAGTTTGACACTAATCTCTTGTTTGTTCTTCTTATACTGGGGTAGTGTTTGTCTTGGCCATAAGAACGCTTCTTCCAGTATGTTTGTATGTAGTTTAAAAAATGCAGTTTTTTATGTTTGACTGTGCACTGTTTTAACTTAGGATCTGTAGCAATGCAAACCTTAGAAACAGTGTTTAAAGCATTTAGCAGGAACAGTAAGATCTACTAAATCTGTAGATTCCGGGCTTGAAAAATCTACTAGCCTATGGCAAGTAGGAAGCTTTCCCAGGCAAGTGCTATCAACTCTCCTGAACTGAAGTTTTTTGTTTGGTTGGTTGGTTTTTTTTAATCTGTCAGTCTCCCCTTAGGAGTGCACACACTCAGCGCACTAAAGCCAGAGAACTTTGCTTAGCAGTACCTGTCAGGGTGATACTCATGCCCTTTGGCCCTTGTAAACCATCATGTAGCTCTTTAAGGGCAGCACGACCCTCGACCCCCCCCCCCCCTCAGTTCCTTCTCACCAGCCATGGCTTGAGTCAAAGTGTATCTGTGTGGTATTTTATCTTGCATTTCTCTGTCACCGTGCTTTTCTTGTGTATATAGTTCTAGTAGTACCCTTAGGATTTAGTTAAGTAGTAGAAATTAGACACAGTTTAGTCTAGTGTGATACCTTCATCAAGTTTTGAACACTGCCTGTCATGTGAGATGGCTGTTCTTAATAGTGAACCCAACATTCAGTGTTTGTTGTGCCTTGAGGAATGGCACATTAAAGAAAAGTGCTTCATCTGCAAGTCATTCAAAAGGAGAATGAAGGTGGCTTTAGAGACTTGCACCTGAAACAATATCTTATGGACCAGGCAGCGCTGCTTCAGCACCAGGGACTTCCACAGGTTGGCCCCTCAGGGAGCTTTGGAGCTGGCATGTTCCATGGCCGGTTTCTGATTGCTCCCCCAGGATGAAGAAAGATTGTTCTTCTTCCTCTGGTCCCCCAAGGAAAACGACTCTCAAGATGAACTGGGCTACAGAGCTCAGAGAGATTCTTCCTCTTCTTCCAAGAAGAGCGCAGACCAGCATTGATATTCCTCAGATGCTCAAGATAAGGCTGGGCTCCTACCCGCTCTCTGGAACTGAGACGAGATCAGTTGGACACACTATACCGGTGTCAGCAACCTTTCAGAAGTGGTGTGCCGAGTCTTCATTTATTCACTCTAATTTAAGGTTTTCATGCCAGTAATACATTTTAACGTTTTTAGAAGGTCTCTTTCTATAAGTCTATAATATATTATTAAACTATTGCTGTATGTAAAGTAAATAAGGTTTTTAAAATGTTTAAGAAGCTTCATTTAAAATTAAATTAAAATGCAGACCCCCCCCCGGACCTGGGCAGTGTGAGTGCCACTGAAAATCATGCGTGCCATAGATTGCCCACCCATGACTATACCATCAATTCCAGTATTATTCATGGGGCATCCGCTGAGTCCAGTACCGACAACATTGGTGTTGGCATTGACTGTTTCCACGCCATTGGCATACCAGGCAGCATAGGACTTGCTCTGCCTTTCTGTTCCTGACTCTCCATTAATTCAGAAGCATTCAACTGTAGTGGCCTCTTCTGTGTCCTTGGGGCTAACTGGACTGGCTGCAGAATTGTTGTTATTGTCGGCACCATCTTCCGCACTGCTTAATTGATTGAGGTTGGTCTCCTCGGTACCAAGGGGCTCATCAGTACACACATTGGCTTCGGTACCAACAACTGTTTCAATATAGACCACCTCTACAATATTAGTACCAGCCTTGACTTCATTACCAATATCTGTTTTGGTGCGGAGTGTGAATGCAGTGCCCGCACTAGGGCCCAAGGTGCCAGCTATTTATCATTGGTCACACCAATGCGATCTGCATATTGGGCTTCAGATGAGGCTGGATGTTGACTTGCCCCTGCCTGGAGAGGCTCCTCCGTTGCCACTAGACTGCTTGAAGGGTTCAAGATTGAACTCAAGGGCATCTTCTTCCTCTCTCTTGCCGTCAAGGCACTGTCCTCGAAAGTTAGCAAGACATTCTGGGGATCACCATCGGTACTGGGATTGGCACCACTCCTACAATAGCAATAGAGGCTCTTGGACCAGTTCCTATTGGCCACAGTGCCATATTCTCTTCCTCAGTGGCCTCCTTGGAATCATTGGGAAGTTCCTTGATCTGCAAAGTCCTGATCCTTGGCTCAATCCAGAGTGAGTTTGCCAATCCCCTTTGTAGTCTCTCCTCCTGAGCCACCTACACTACAGACACAGACTGAGGTTGTCCCCTTTGAGCTGGTTCAGCCTGAACCATTGTTGCAGGGGCAAGAGTTGCTGCAGGAGATACCATAGGCTCTGTTCCCTTCCTCTTCACCAGATGACTAGATTCCTCCTCTCCTGTGCCTGAAGAGTTTAAATTATATCAGGATCTTCTGAGGCAAATGGCTTCAGCCTTAGGCATTCAGGCAGAGTTTGTTCAGGAAAATACCATAAGTTGGTGGAAACTCTCCAGCCCTCAGCTCCAGGGAGGGTAGCTCTCCCTATAAATGAAGCACTTTTGTGCAAACACTTTGTGGCATACCCCAGCTTCTTTACCGCTTACAGTGAAGCATACTGAATACTGATAAGATATCATAACCCTATGCAGGGTTTTTGAGTGCTTCTACCCACATCCAGCCCCAAATTCTCTTGTTGTGATGGCAGCAAATGAACTACTATGGCAGAGGAGATGCCTGAAGATACTCTAAAAGGTTAGATTTGATGGAAAGAAAAAATTATTCAACATTATCTTTACAAATGCACATTGTGAATCAGTAGGCGCTGTTATCTAAATATGACTTTGTGTATTAGGAAGCTATGTCCAAATTTCCTGATAAGTTGCCAGAATCCTCCAGGGAAGAGTTTAAGGCATTCATTGTAGAAGGCCATCTGGTAGCCAAGATGTCATTGCAATTGGCAGTGGGCATGGTGGACACTTCTTCTAAAATTATGGCCTCAGTTGTAACTATGAGAAGGGCCTTGTGGTTGCAGCATTGCTCCTGTCGTCCAGCAGACCATAGAGGACTTACCTTTCAGTGGTTGGTTTTTATTTTTTCAAAAGGTTGATGAGACACTACATTTTCTAAGGACTCTTGTGCTACTTTGCTTTCATTGAGGGTTCATTCGTAAAGAGACATCATTATGGAGGTTATCAACAACAGGAGCAATAGCACTCTCAGTGATGTTTCTGGTAGTCGTCCTACCTGCTAGGCAACAAGACTTCTCCCGGAAGGGGCACAAGTCACAGATTAGGAGGCCTTTTGGATCCAATTTTAACCTGCCAGCCTGTCCTCCATCAGCTTCAAGCAAGCAGCCATTTTGACTTGCATATTGAGAGCTGCATTCCGTTTTCTATCTCCCCAGCCATATCTCCACCATTTGGGGACAGGCTGTCTCGCTTCTAAAATGCTTGGGAAACAGTAACCAAGGACAAATGGGTCCTAAGCACTGTGGGAGTCGGTTAGACCATCCAATTTCTGTTCATTTCCCCTTCCCACCCCACTACCCCATCCTTTTTCAGGGACTCCTCTCATGAGTTACAGCTCCTTCAACAGGTCTAAGTTGCATGCTTCATGTTTCCCCTGCAGCACCAGGGAAAGGAATTCTACTCACGGTATTTCCCGATTCCCCGATCTCTGTGGTCTCAGCAAGTACATCAAATACATGAGATTCCATATGGTTACCCTAACTACTGTTCTCCACACTTTGAATCATGACTGATTTGCTGCACTTGATCTTCAGGATGCTTACTTCCACATAGCAATTTTTCCAAGCCACAGGATGTTTGAGATTTGTAGTGACAGGTCACCATTAACAGTACACAGTGCTTCCCTTTGGCCTGTCCTCAGCTCCACACGTATTTACCAAATCCATGACTGTAGTAGCAGCATATCTCAGAAAAAGAGGAATTCATATCTTTCCTTTACCTGAATGTAAGGGGGAAGTCCAGAGACCAAGTCTTCTGTCTGGTCCAATTTCCGCTACATTTCTTCTATTGTCTGTGAACAAAGGAAAGCCAGCCACCACAATAGCAACACACAAATAGAGTTCACTGGGGCCCTCCTAGACTCTACAAGTTCGAGGGTGTTTCTGTCAAGAGAAGGATTTCATGCAATTCGTTGCCTGTGGCTGTCCCTTGCTCTCATCCTTCAACTCTGATCCTTGAATGCTGGAATTTGTTAGGTCATATGGCTGCATTTACGTACATGGTCCAACATGCAAGATTTCATCTTCATCCTGTTCAGGGATGGTTGAAGTTGGTATATCTCCTGAACTGTCAGTCATTGCCACTGCCCATCCTGGAGTCTCTACAGAGTGGTGGACAGATCAGATCAATATTTGCAAAGGTGTTCCTTTTGCCCATCCTCCTCTAATCAGGACCATAGTTACTGATGCCTTCATAGCAGGTTGGGAAACACATCTGGGGACATTGAAGGTTCATGGTTTATGGACAGACATCATATCAACATCCTGTAGCTTCAAGCCAGGATGCTGGGCACAGATGAAGAGCACAGACATTCATATCCTCATTGACAATACCACCACAATGTTTTATGTGAACAACCAGGGAGGAGCTTGCTCCAACCACCTTTGTCAGGAAGCAATAATGTTTTTTGTCAATTTTGCTTTAGGGAAAACATCTCCACGGCTGCTCACTTACCAGATGCTCAGAATAACTTGGTTGATCACCTTAGCAGGAATTTCTCCCAGAATCACGAGTGGTCTCTGAAGAGCAGCAGGCTGAGGTCCATCTTCAAAGAATGGGGCATTTCAACTGTCGACCTGTTTGCAACCAAAAACAAGTTTTGTTCTCAATTGGGTCTCAGTCCGGGATCCTTAATCAATGTCTTCCATCTGAACTGGGGATCAGCACTGACGTATGCTTTCCCCCCCGAGCCCACTCATTCCGCAGATTATTTTCAAACTAATGTTGGATCATGCCAAATGGATACTTGTTGCATCAGATTGTATCGTTGCAAGACAATGTTCTGCAATCTTCTCAGTCTGTGTTTGACCTCCCAGATCTCTTCCCCTCTATCCTGACCTACTGACTCAGCACCATGGTCAAATTTGGCATCCAGTGCTGAGCAGTCTGCACCTCACGGTGTGTATGCTGCATGGTTAGATGAGGGGAAGGATGGTGTTCAGAAGCAGTTCTGAGTGTTCTGCTTAATAGTAGAAAACCTTCCACTAAGGTTATCTATTTGGCCAAGTGAAAACATTTTTTTGGTTTGATCGCTAGCCAGGGGAATTCAGCTGAAGCTAGCCAGCATTCAGGATACTTTGGATTATCTGTTACAACTTTTAGTCCGCTGGTTTCTTTTTTTTCCCTCTCTCAGCTCATTGAGGATCCACTTAGCAGCAATCTCTGTATACCGTCCTCTGATCCAAAGGAAGTCTGTTTTCTCAGACTGCATGGTAATGAGATTTCTAAAAGGTGTTGTCTGTCTCCACTTGTGAAGTAAACTGTTCAATTATGGGACCTTAATACTGTATTGGCTACCTTTATGGTGCATCCTGGCAACTTGTTCTGTCTTCTTTGCCAAAAGGTGGCTTTTCTTAATGCCATAACAGCCTCAAGAAGAGTGAGTGAACTGCAGGCCTTAATGGCAGAATGTCCATAAATGCAGTTTGCAAAAATGAAGTGGTCCGAAGACTAGACAAAAATTTTGGATGCAAAGTGGTTTCACAGTTTCACCTTAATGAAATGATATATTTACCTCTGTTCTTTTGTAAGCCACATTCAAATGTGGATGAACAGTGTCTTCACACACTGGATGTGAGACGATGCTTGGTATTCTATCTGAAAAGGATTAAACCAAATAGTTCATCACCTCGACTTCATCTTCTGTGCGGATCGAATGAAGGGTCAAGTGGTCTCTGGACAGATGATTTCCAGATGGATCATTTCCTGCATTACGACAGCATATGGGGTAGCTCAGATCACACCTCCACAGAAACTGATGGCTCATTTGATGATGGCCCAAGAAGTTTCTGTTGCATTTCTCAGTAATGTTTTTATACTGGATATTTGCAGGGCCGGTATGTGGTCTTCTGTGCATATGTTTAGCAGACATTATGCTATTACAACTGCATCTCTGTCAGATGCAGACTTTGGGAAGGCAGTCCTGCAGTCATTGTTCAAGTAGATTCCAAGCCTCACCATCTTTGGTTACTGCTTGTCAGTTGTCTGAATGGAATACATGTCTGCAGCCACTAGAAGAAAGAACTATTACCAACCTATACTGTAATTGTTATGCTTTGAGATGTGGGTGCAGATAGGAATTCTGTGACCCTCCCCCCATCTCCTCTGCAATGGAGTTTCTACTCTTGATGTTAGTTGCAAAGGAATTGAGGGAGGTTGGGGCAGCGCTGCCCTTAAATAGCCAATGGAAGGGGGCTCTGAGGGCCTAATGGTGTGAGTACCACCCCACTGGATACTGCTAAGCAAAGTTACTGGCTTCAGTTCACTGAGTGCACACACACCTGAGTGGAACACATGTCTGCACCCACAACTCAAAAAAACCCAATTACAATACAGGTAGCTAATAACTTTTTGTAGTTGCAAAGATAATTTTCCATATATGAACTGAGTGTAAACCAATATTGTCCTGTCTTCCTAAGTCTGTACACCACTCCACTGCCACTGTTGCTTGTAGCTTTGACAAGTTGCAGCATGGGGTAAGCTGACCAGTCTGGTCAGTCTTTACTATTGCTGTTCCTGCCACTGCAGCAGCCAAGAAGGTGAGGGAGGAGAATAATAGGGGAGTCCACGTACAGTAATAGCAGTCAGGTGATTCTGAGGTGAGAGAATATTCTTTTACTACCAGACACCTACTAAATGGAGGCTGATACAGAAGATAGAGCCCAAACAGGATACTATATGGAGAGGGAGAGAGACTTGGAGAAAAATGAGAGAGCAAAATTAATAGGTTGGTTGACAATATTACAGTTAAATGATGTATACAAATAATATACAACTTTTAATCCTTTAAATTGCAAACAGGGCCTGAGAGAACAGTTATTTTTCAGCTTGGCTAGTAGACTTACTCTTCAGGGTGTATATGTTGAGTAAATTTTTAAAGTTTGGATTTATATTGTAGTTTTTAGAATTTTCATGTTGCTTCTAGCTTTCAATTTTTCCCTTTTCCTTCAGCTACACTAAAAGAGCAAAATAGGAGCTCCTTCTCATCAACCATTGATTTTCCTGGGTGCATACTATCTGAATCTTTGCTTGGGCGCCATACAGATTCTTGGTCTAGGAGCCCATCATCACCAGACTTCACCTCTAGCTTTTTGTGCAAAACTTATATTACAACAGAACCAACAGGGAACACAAATACTTTACCTATTATTTCGTGGTCTCAAAATCAGTGGATTTGCTTTACTGGTGATCTTGTTACAGTTGAACAAACAAATGCAAACCACAAGGCGCCCCAGAGTTTGCATTTTAAAACTGAAAATCTCCACACTGCCTCTGCTGCTTTGCTTGGGAGTTCTTCCAACAGCTGTGCCACTGAGGATCAAAGTGACCTTTACAATAATATTACGTACCATGAAAAATTATTCATTGAAGAAACTGACAGTGCTGCTGAAATTTCTTCCACATCTTCATCAGCGCCACTGGACTCTAGTTTAGTCTCTACTTGTGTTCATATAAACAAGGGTATGGCAAGCATGAGTTGTGTATTGGTCTTTGCCTAATAACTGACTCCGAAAAGTAGACTGACTTCTCTCCCTCACTGTTGCTCACCTGATATTAAAATTAATTCATCCTCTCATCTAAAGATACTAAATCTTATCAGCGTTTTTAGCACCAAGTCTCCTAAGTCAGTCAGTCAACATATAAATATGTATCCAACTGAAAAAAACCTTCTTGACTAAGGGCATTGTTTGTTCCTGATCATGTGGAACTTTGCTTTTTTAAAAAGCAGCGAATATACTATTCTGAGGAATGTCAAAGGCAGTGAGCAATCAAAAACTTCTGGAAAATTTAAATATTTAGAACTGCAAAAAGTAATTGTAGTGTTTTCTAAATTTTATATAGCTACCTTATTAGAGTAAAAAATCTAAAATCTGTACTTATCCTTTTGATACTTAAATCAAATTTTAATGTGCAGTTGAGACTACAGTTGTGACACAAACTAACAAATGCAAAGAAAATCAATGTTGAGACAGGTATTCCATCTCCTCTCATTGTGTGCCTCTGATCAGGGTGTTTATCGTGCACTACTTACAGTAGGCATAAAAGGATGAATTTAAAGTGAAGATTGGTAATGTTAGTCTTGAATTGGGTTTGCTTTCGGCATTTGTGGTACAAATTTAGGACGAGTGGGATTTTCAAGTGCTCGGCATTGGCCTAACTCTATTTCCATCGAAGTCATTGATAAAACTACCATTTACTTTAATAGGAACAGAGTTATGCCATATCTGAGTGCTTTTGAAAATCTCACACTAAATATAATTTTTAGTGAATATTCTTTTTGGTTACAAGCACATCTAAAATTATTTTGGACAGATAATTGAATATGCTGTAACTCTTATTTATCATATAATTATGTATTTGCTTTTTTGGGGGGGGAAAAGCACATTTTTGATTCAGAATACTTACTGGATGACATCTAACAGCTGTTTTGAAGTATAGTTCGTCTCAGAAAAGTGGCTATGTAAAAATAGCACCTTCTTTCACTGACGTGTATTGAGAATTTTATCTGCTCATTTTCGAGGCTAATTTTTTACAATTTTTTAGTTTCTGGTAGTCCTGCTGAAAGAAATGAGAAGTTACATGGTTTCTCACATATCAACACAATTATTTACTAAATTTTAATCATTTATAACACCTGTGAAAACTCACTGAAGGCAGTGTGGTTTCACATATGTCAGCGGCCTGATCTTAAGATAATGGAGCTACACAGCAGTCATCAAAGGCCTAACTGGCCTGTTTTATTACTGTTGATGATACATGAGAAATAAAAGACCAGACTTCACCCTGAGCCCATGCTGAGCATAAAGGGTGAAAGCTAGGTAAAACCATCTTTTTACCTACAAACTGGGTATATTTGATATGGAATCATTAAGGAACTATAATAATGGAACCCACAATGCCATTTGTAGTCATTTTTCAGAGTACCATAGAATCACATTTTAATACCATAGTAGTTTTTGTTTGTTATGAATTCCTGCAAAATAGGGTTTGTAATAAAGTAGAATCTTTAACAGAAATGTAATTTATAATGGTTGCACTCTGACTTTTTTGTATTTTTTGTATTTTCATATGACTTTTATAATACTAATGATTTCTTCACATTATTCTTTTTTTTCAGCTAGGCCCACAACTCCTCTTTCTGTAGGCACTATTGTACCACCTCCAAGGCCTGCTTCCAGACCAAAGATATCAACAGGGAAACTTAGTGGAATTAATGAAATAGTATGTATTTAATTTTAGTTTTTGTTTAATTATATAACTTATTTCTCAAGGAATGGCTCAACTTGAAATAAGGCACTCATTTACCCCATTATAGTTAACGTTTCTTTTTACATCAAACTCTTCAAGAGTTTATAAATCACCCATTTTAATTGTCATCAACCTAAAATGTGCATGGAAATTGTTCACTGTGAATGTAATTATTGGTGGCATAAATTTGTTAGTACTTTTTATGCAAAGCAGCTTTTGGAGGGCTTAGGTGTGTTTGCTTTTACTTGCTCAAACAAAGAATCAATTTTTAAAAACTGAAGATTGCATATACATAATGCCATATCTTCAGAAAAAACCTTGAGTGAAATCCTGATCCGAGTGAAATCAATCTCAAAACTCCCAGGATTTCACCCCAATTTCTAAGAGAGAGAACCACATGAGGAAAGAGGAACTCATTCATATTATCAGGCTGATACTGTTTATCTATCTTATGATAAACATTTTGAATTCTTCGGACCTAACATGGCTCACTAGAAGTTGGCAAAAATGGCCTTAACTCTCCTGAAACATTTACTCTGACTAGGTACAGTTTTATTAGTTATGTGCATTTCTGTACTACCCATCACTGTAGTACCTGAGAATTCTTTACAGGTTCTGGGTGCTGTAAAAAAGGAGACTTAAGTAGCAAAACCAAACCACAACCTCCACCATTTCAGATTTGCTCTTCACTGGCTTGTGTTAAATTATTTGACTGGGTGTTACTAACATTTAATCTAATCTGTCCTTGCTTGTTAATCTTGGATGTGAAACCATCCTTGTGTAACACCAGATGAATTTGGGTGAGGGGAGGTCAGGGCAGAGGGGAGGATTAATGTGTGTGGAAAGCCTGAGATCCACTCTTTCACAATGCAGTGGCACTGCACCATCTCCAGGTTAAACAGCGGATGGTTCTTTGAAAGACACCAACCTTTCCTCTCCACTGGTGTGGCCCCTAAAGTTGTCATCCATGGAAAGTGCTCATGTATTCAGGGCTGCAGGTTCAGGCAGCAGCATAAAAGTTTAGCTTCTCTGCCTTTTTTTTTTTTTGGCACTTAGCTCAGCCTGAAATGGGGTTACTTTAGGCTGTTACATAGGCAAAGCATAATGTTAACTCATTAAAGATTGATTATCCGGAAAAATTTCCTAACAATATTCTAAATTATAGAATAACTGCCCAAGGGAAATGGTAGCAGTTCATAAGTTTTTTTACTTTGAAAATTAGGTTGGATGAAACACTAGAAAAAATATATTGTAGGGAACAATCTTGCATTAGGCAGGGAATGATCTAGATGAAGACGTCTTTTCTGGTTCTGTCTGATTCTCATAAGATTTCCTTTGTTTCATCCATTTAAAATCATTTATATGTTTGTAATGATATTGACACATTTTGTTTTAAGCCGAGGCCATTCAGCCCACCCTTGACCTCTAACTCCAGTCCACCACCTATAGCTCCTTTGGCACGAGCAGAGAGTATCTCATCAATATCTTCTTCTGCTTCTCTAAGTGCAGCAAATACACCCACAGTAGGTAAGTAATTCAGACTATCTGTGAACAACCATTTTATGTCTCTATAACCTGTAATTTTTATAACTTTTATTTTTTTTAGAAGAGCTATAAATCTTCATTCTTCAGGGCATATATCAACCACTAACTTCTGGATGTTAGGAGGAAATAGCCATATTTGTCCAACTTAGGTTTTCTTGCAGCTTCCTTTGAAGTATCCGGTACTGAATGCTGTCAGAGACGGGATACTGGGCTAGATAGACCACTGGTCTGATCCAGTATGGCAGATCCTTCAGTGAAATTTTTTTTTAAATTGTTGTAGAAATGCTTATAAATGCTTACTTGCTATGCAGGATATGTATACATTAAGTGCAGGGTGTTATTTATTTGTTTGAGATTTTATTCTACTTGATATTGAAATATTCTTTAGATATAGAGTGAATTTAATCCTTTTTAAAGAAACCATTGCATTTAGGCCGATTATCAGGTTTTGTTTTAATTTTTTCTGTTATAAAACTTAATACTAATAGAATTATTTCCATGAAAATTGTTTTTAAATGATTTATAGTGATTTAAATGTTCCCTTGCCTTGCTTGCAACCCCATAATTGCAGTATTATGCAAATACATAGAAACCAAAATCTGAAACTGATGGTCTTTTCCTTTCTCCAGCTTGGATGAAGTAAAGGAACTAAATAAAGAGCATAAATGGTGAAAAGTAAATTAGGGCCCTAATCGTGCAATATACATGAATAGTGCCATTAACTTTAGAGGGGCCATTCACCTGCATAAAGTTACATGTTCGTGTTTGAAGGATCAGGACCTTGATTTCTTTTAAAATTCTTTCAGTTTTGACAACCTAAGGTGTAACTAGCAAGGAACATTTTTTTTTTTGTAAAAGTGTATTTTTTTTAACCTGATGTTCCTTTTGCCGGACTGATTATTATTTTTAACTACTGGACACTATTACAACTTTAGTCTTCTAAATTAAACTTAACTCCAGCAAATGTATGTTGTTTCAAGGGAATTTGTGGAAATGTCTAATATTCTTAACTAATTTATTTTATATTTTAACCTCATCTTTAATTAAAATTCTTATTTTTCAAACATCTTTCCATTTAAATAATATAACTTTAAATTAGTGCTTTTTATTATTGCTTGAAATATTTTGTTTTCTTGCAATGTTTTGTTTCATTTAAATGTAATAGATGATGATATAGTCATTGGAAAGCTCCCTACGATTGAAAAACTTTGTGAGACACCTGCAGGTATTGTTCTAGAAGATTTATATGTTAACTAATTATCCTAAAACTGTACCTAATACAATTTTAGTTCTTTGTGACTTAACTTTCTCCAGCAATCTCTAGTATCTTCCAGCCATAAAGTAGCTTCGAAGCTAAACTGCTTAATCAGTTATGTGTTGTATTAATCATTTGAAATTGATATAACCAATAATTTAAAAAATTCCAAAAAAACTCAGGTAAAGCCTGTGGTCTTATTCTCTCTAATCTTCCATCATAGCTTTTCTCAAAAAAAGAAGCAATTATCTTGAACTTTTAAAATGACAATCCTTACTTAACACTTTTAAAGGGCCTGTTTTGTATGTGGCATGCAAATAAGAAGAACACTGAAATATTTGAAAACTTCCACCATAAATAATTGTTACCTTTTTTCCCAGACAGATATTGTCCATTACCCTCCAGCAGACTAATTTAGCAAAATTAAAAGTGCTTCAACCTGTGGGATAGTAGACCCAGGCACCTCTTTGTAACTCTGCTGGAGCTACTCTTCATATAATGACACACTGGAGCTACTTTACTTTTTGCATCCTCAACCTCAAAACCATTTAAGTCTCAAAAGATCTAAAATTTTTGAAACCTATGTTGCAGTCTGGGGTGTCCGTTTCAAAGTCCTACTAACTTTTCAAACTGCTGCTGTTTGGCTCAGGAGAGAGGCTACACAACCCCACCAATAGGCTTCTGCCACTGGAAGCTGGTAAGAGAGGAGAGGACATTCCAACTAACTCATCTTTTGCATACCCTGTTCCCCAAGGAATTGCCACCAGAAGAAAAAAGAAGATTGCTTTTCCCGCCATTTCTCTTCCCTTGTTATACAGGACCCTCTCTCTGGGGGGCGGGGAAGATGGGCCCCATCTGAAGTTTCTAATGGCATCAAAGATAGAATGGCCAGACTTTAAGTCTGAGGTGTGTTGGGTGATGGATTCTCAAACTTTTTCATGTTGTGTAACAAGAAGGCTGCCCAACTCATGAAATCAAAATGAAGTCCCTCCCCCACAACCAATTTCCTCTCCAATGCAAATCAATTCAAATACTTCCCCATCTGCATGAAAAATCAGTTCTAACGCTACTGAACATCTGCTTGAAAGTCCCACACACATTCAGAATTGTTTCCCTCCTGTACACACTAAAACTGATCTAGTCCACAGTCCACTGCTCTTCAAGTTGCCTGCAGCCTCTCTAGGGCATAGTTCCTTCATGCCTGCCTCTTTAAAGCCCTTCATCCCCTTCAAAGTTGCTGCCTCTCACTCCTTATTGTTCTTCCATCTCAGCTTGCTTCTTTCCTTCTCCACCTCCACTTTGAGGTCATCAGCTGCAGCCTCCCCTGTCACACCACGGCCCTATTTCTGGATCTCCAGTTCCAGCCACCTTTCTCACTCCCAACAAGGATTCTCAGCATTTTGTGCCTGGCTGCAGAGCAAACAGGCCAACAGAATGCTGATTTACAATGTTAAATCTATCTTTATAATAAGAAGGACTTAGTTTTGTTTGGGGATGTTTTTTTTAATGAAAACTTAGCTTTTTGCAGAGCACAGTAAAATCTGAAAAAAGAAACTAAATCTGTTGATTTCTAGTGCCCTGGGTATGACCAAGAAAAAGAGAAATATGTATGTGTGCACTTGCATATATATTCATATATCTGTGTCTCCTTAAATATGTGCAAATTGTAATGTATTAAGGAAGATGCAGTTATTTTCAGCAAGGAAGAAATTCCTGTATTTCTTTTACAGAATTGAAAAAATATATGTATACACTAAGTTTAATAGATTTTGCATAATTCTCTCTAATGGATCAGTTTGAATTTATCTATAAGAATATAAAAAGAAAAAAGTTATTATAAATCAACAATTTGTACCTCTGTAAAAGACTATTTATTTAGTAGGAAGTGATCACCTTCCAGCCTGGTTCTGCAGTTGAGCTGTCTAATCATTACTCCCTATTGGTCTAATGAAAAGGGGATAAATTCTCATACAACTGTAGAGCAATATTTATAGCCTAAACACATTTTTAACTGTTTGTTATAGATGACTTTGTATTATTTGCTGTCTCCATAGTTGAGCATTTCACTACAGAGATGGAAATTAATGGGTCCAGTTTTGCCGACTCATGATAAAATCATGGTCCCATTAATTTCCATGAGTCTTGCAATATTTGATGAGTCATGCAATATTTTTTCTTAAAACAAAGTTGTAGGGTTATGTGAAAATCTCAGCTTTCTTTTTAAAAAAGAATAACTTTCTAGCCTTCGTGGTTACAGCAAAAAGCTTGAAGATGTGGCCTAAGGGTGCACTGAAAGGCAAATAAAAAGATGTCAACATATTTTTTGTTAATTTCATGTTTCCAATCAGTCCACTAATATTTCTTTAGTCTGATTCATGATTTTTTTTAATGTCTGGGCTGGCAATACCGTGGGTCGAAGGAAGAGTATGTATTCTATTAGAGGTTTTTTATGTAAGTGAATTGTATTGGTTCATAGACAAAGTAACTATGGGAAGAATTCAAAACATTAAAGCATCTTGTAAACAGTGCACAAGACTTTAGAGGGGAAGGTAAGGCTTGATAGTATAAGAAGACTAAATATCTGGAATCTGACCATGTTTTTTAAACTCCTCTCCCACTCTCATGCTGCTCCTCCTCCTCCTCCTCCCACCCCTCCTGCCTCTAATTAAACATACAGTTCCCACACCCACATGTACTTACTTCATAGATCAGTACATGTATTAACAAGCTGCTTCCCCATATTAAGGTCCCACCCTCCTCCTACAGCATGTACTGCTGAAAAATCTGAGAAGCACATCACAGTATTTCAAAGTAAATTAGAGGATTAGTTTGAAAGCAGAAACATATGGCTTTCTGCTTTATGGTACCTCAGTAGAAAATATTCATTGGTCTCTTTCTGTCCGCTTATTGAAAAGTGTTAGGCTTCCTTTGTGAGCAATATGCTTTGCATGAGACAGTCAGATTTAATAGGAGTACAGGAAAAGAATAATAATAAGCTTTCCACTGTGCTATTGCTTTCAGTAACTGGCAGTATATATTTTAGAATGGTACATTTTAGTCCCTGGTCTTCACATGTGCATGCACAACGTTTTGTTGTTATGCATATGTTCACCCACACTATTCTCATGCAGCCACAGTGTAAGAAGTCTTAATGCTACGTCCCAGTTGGTTTTGTAGGTAAAAATTGAAACACTTCTGTGTATGCAGGTGTTTGCATAACAACTTACGAAGGCTGGACACAGGCCTTTCTGACTATTTTCCCCAGTACATTGAATGACTTTTAAAGTGGTGCATATTTCCTTGTAACTCTGAGGCATACCCTGATTCCTTAATAGGTGGACATAAAAATCTCAGTAAATAAAAATTTTCTGTGATTTTCATGTGAAAAGTGTTTGCCTGCTTGCTAGTGCTCGAGACTTAGTTAAAGATGCCAATACTTAATTTATGTGGAATCAGACTAAACTGCTTGGGGTTTTTATGCAGACCATAATTAGAATCAGGATATGTCCATGATGACTCTCTTCTTTTACTATAAAAAGAACAGGAGTACTTGTGGCACCTTAGAGACTAACAAATTTATTAGAGCATAAGCTTTTGTGGACTACAGAGCACCTCTTCGGATGCATCCGAAGA